CTGTCTCTGTCTCTCTCTGTCTCTCTCTCTGTCTCTCTGTCTCTGTCTCTGTCTCCGTCTGTCTCTGTCTGTCTCTCAGGAGCTTCCACTTTGGTTTCATGGAGGACAGCAGCTACATTGAAGGACTTGTTATGGGGTAAGTTTGCCTTTAACAGAGACAGTGGACGACTGTGTCTCTGGTCTATGACATCATAGAGCCTTGGGGGTCATGACCTTGTCTTTTGTCCCTCGTCCAACGTGTCCATGTGGAGACATTAATGTTTAGAGACAGAACTTCTGATTTGACTGACCATGGATCAGCTGTTTGTCTTTGTTTGTTTGTTGTCAGTGATGTCATCATGCCGTCAGTCATCGTGGTTAATCTGTCCAATGACGGCTACTTCCTGCCAGAGGGCGCTGTGGAGACAGAGCGCCACCTGCTGGACTTCCTGAATGGGATTCTAGATGGTACAGTCCAGGTGAGTCAGTCTGCAGGTACACCGCGAGGATGGGGACGACCTATCAGCTGTGTCTCATTGTCTCTGAAATATGTCTCTGTGTCTCACCTCTCAGTGTCAGGGAGGAAACGGCGTCCTTCAGCGTGTCAGACGCTTTGTTTATGACATCAGAGTCTCACTGATGGTACGTCCAAATACACACACACACACACACGCACACACACACACACACACACACACACACACACAACAAACCAAACTAATGTCGACCTGACCTGTCCAGCTGTTGTTCAGACATGCTCCGGTGTTCGGCTGCTTCCTGGTTGGCTTCCCGTTCGCCATGGTCACCGTCTTCTTCTACCTCTGCTGCAAGAACCGCCCCACCACGAGTGACGATGACGACAATGACAGTGTCACGCCGTCACTGCAGCGCCATTCCAGACTGGCCGACAAAAAGTCGGACTGAGGCAAAGCGTCAGGGGGCGGAGCTTCAGCTGAAACTGATCAGACGTACAGAGTTTTACTTTAGTGTTGATGACATCATCAGTATGTGTTTGACCTGACATGTAATAAAAACAGTGAAACACGTCACGTCTGTTTTAATGACTGCGATCACAAAGAGTAAAGACTGTCATCTGACCGCGGTGACGCTAACGACCCCACAGAAAGATGGACCACGCCTAATCATGATGTCACAATGACAGAATGAAATGAAAGACGGGTTCAACATGTGTCTGAATGAGACGACAGAACGTCATCACGCTCAGCACGACTTCACAGCGTCGCTGTGGTGACGTTAAGTCATGTGACGGGGGTGTAGTTTTTTACTCCTGCTGATTGAACTGATTCTTCATTGGTCATAAAGTTTATTAGTGAAAATGATCTGACTCAACAAAACTTGGAGGATCAGAAACATTTGTTTATTTCCTGTAATAATCCAACGGAACAATCTGATGAATCAGCTGTTTGAGGAGGGAACCAGGGCGACGCTGACGCCAGGGTCGACCTGCAGAACTCTGAGTTACATGAAAGAAACACAGGATCAAAACATGTCATCAGTTGTTCTACAGATGAAACATGTTAGGTTTTTACTGATGTGCTGAATGGACCTGTCTCTCCTCTGACCTCTGACCTCTGACCTCTGCTTTCACACTACATGTCACATTCACACACAGGTGTGTGTGAGGCGACCATAACAAGTCATTCATGACTGCTGCTGGTGTTTCAGTATGTCATAAACCCTTCTGCTCTGTGTCTGAGCCCATGTGTTGATGTATGTCGGCCTGCTGACGTCACATCCTGGTCTATGACCATGTGCGGGTGTTTACACTGTGTCGTGCTGTTATTTCCTCGTCTGACTGATAAAGAACTTTTCCTTTAACGTTTGAAAAGACAACAATCATTCACAGCTTGTTGTTTGACTCTGTGCTGATATGATGACGTGCTGATGTCACTGTACAGCCATAACTTAGCCATTAACATTAATGATATTCTGCTGAGCAAAGTAGCTCATCAGCCACACTCAGCAGAATGGTTGCCGAGCAACAAACACACGCAGAGACATTTAGAGATGTGTTAGCGACAGGTTCAAGAAAACCTTGTCTGTCGACCATCAGAACAATTCTGCTCAGTTCCCTCATTCAGCCTGTGCACACGAGCCGACTCTATGACGACATGATGTCACCACACCTCACCACACACGTTCAAATATTAAAATACAACTGATTCCTTTGTGTGTTAACGAGCGGTGACACATCTCTAATGTCTTTCTAACATCTCTGTGGACAGTTTAAGCCACAGACGTCTTTAACCTCGGCTCAACACTGGTGACGAGTGCAGCTGAACAGAACACTGTGACGTTACAGTAATGTGTCTGTCTCTGACCAACCTACAGACACCCTTTGTACAGGTGAAGTATTTATTGAAGAACACCTGTGTCTGGAGGTCACACAGAGGTCACACAGAGGTCACACAGAGGTCACACAGAGGCTCCAGTGTTACATTGACACACATTCAGATCCAGGTCAAACTCTCCGTGGCTGATTGAAGACATGTCTCATTAAGACTTCTGGCAAGACGGCGAACAGGGCACACAAAAACTTTTCAGCTCCATTTGTTTGGTCCTTAACTTTGACACAAACCTTGTGTGGCAGGTTGAGCGCTGCTTCACCGCCACTCTTACTTAGTGTCAGCTGTGTCTAATTTCCAGCTGTCCGGGTCTGATTGCGAGGTGGTGCCACCTGCTTTATTGGTCATGCTCTCACTGGTGCGCACACTGTTACCTGGCGTTCACCTGGCGAGGGCTCTGTGTGGCGTGCTCCAGTTTTTGTACTGAACTTGGGACGTGTCAGGTGGGCATGGGTGCAGTAATGTTTGGGTACTTTTATCGTGCATCATGGTGTGACAGCTGCCATGACTTTTCGCTTCACAGCGGTGTCGGCCGTGCCTGTTGTGTGCAGCTTCGGAGGGACTTTTGAGAAGGGTGGAGACGGTGAGGGGTGGAAAGGGTGGAAAAATCTTTCCACAAAGGGAGGAAGAGATTGGAGATGTTATCGACTCAGTTCACTGCATCAGAAGGAGAGAAGAAGGACGGAGCCGCCAGGTCATCATGCAGCTTCTGAGGAGACGCCACCAGGATGCAGTATGGAAAGCAACCAAAGACTCTCCATGTGCAAGGAACAAGATCTTCGCTTTGTGCAGGGCTTCACCGAGGAGGATCGGCAGGCAAGAGAACAGCTATGGCCGAAAATCAAGCAAGTTAGATCCCTGGGTCAGGTGACGTTTCACAAAGGCCACGTGGCGGTAATTGATGGACATACAGTCACGGCTTAGTTTGTCATTCCTTAAGTTTGATGAAAGAAAGTCATTTCAACACTAAGCTGATAACACATGTGGTTCTATGACAGGCACAAGCTGGTTCTGTTTAGCTTCATGTGTCTGTTTCTCTCCTCACTATGCAAAGTCACTTTATAACAACACTGTAACGTGTAAGAATGGGGAGGAAAGTTCATTCGCATTTGACCCTCATGCTCACTCCAAGGACAGTCTTCAAGATGCATTTTTGGGACTTGCTTCAAGTTCTTTTTTTTTTTCCTCACTAAAACCTTCCGACAAAAGTGAGCTCCCAGTTTTGTTTTGGTTTTTCCCCGTTAAAGGGTTTTTTTGGGGAGATTTTCCAGATCAGCTGTGAGGGTCATAAGGACAGAGGGACGTCGTATGCTGTAAAGCCCTGTGAGGCAAATTGTGATTTGTGATATTGGGCTTTATAAATAAAATTGATTGACTGATTGATAAAACCTTCGTCTCTAATTTGCACATTGTTTAATTCATTGGTTTGTTTTTCTGTTTTCTCTTAAAAACAATCTTAATCTTTCAACAGTTAACGCCAGGGGCCTGAGACACGATCTAAAAAGAAAAGCTACATGTGTTTTTTTTGTGAAAGCAAAAGTCCACAACATATATTCCTCCAAGAAACTCACTCACAGGACTATGATTAAACATTCTGGTCGACTCAACGGGGAGATAAAATGATCTCTTCACATGGTACATGTAGATTCGCAGGCAACGCAATGCAAAATAAAAAGCTTCTTTCATGTGGAAATCCTGGCTGGAGGGGGATTTGAATAAGATAGCAGACCTGTACAAAGACTGGGTGTTTTTGTCATTTCAGGAGATGAATGAACTTTTCAGTATGAAGGAGAAGGGAGATTTTTGGAAGTACCTCCAATTATGAAGTAGTATCGGAACCACAGGCATCAAATCAGGCGAAGGGGAAAATATAGTAAAACATTTTTTTGACTTGCCTAGATCTGCTCGCTCTGCCTCAGTCCTTTACAATATGGCTGCAGATGCTCAGTGTGGAAAGTATGAACATTTAAGATTAACTTGGCAAAAAGATCTAAACTGTAACATTGAAGAAGATGCATGGAAAGACATAGTAACAAATACAGGATGGTCCATCAGGGATGCCTGGGGTAGACTATCCACACAGGTACTATTACACACCAGTAAGACTTCACAGAATGGGTTTGTTACAGAGCAACTTAAGTTGGAAGTGTAAGGCAGATGCAGGAACCTTCTTACACTCACTGTGGGAATGCCCTTTGGGTTTCCCTTTTTGGAAAAAAGTCATTGTAAAATTGAGTGAATGGCTTCAAAAATCCTTGCTGGAATCCCCCCGTCTTTGTCTCCTAGGGGATAGGTCAGAGTTACCACCAGGAATATTAAAAGTAGAATTCGGTGTGGCACTGACAGGCGTCATCACTGCAGCTAGAATGATTCTTCACCACTGGAAGAGTCAGACTCAACCAGCACTTACTGACTGGGTTAAGATGATGACCGATAATGCCTCTATGAACTGATGATAGCTAAGTTAAATGATAACAAAGGAAAATTTTTCCAGGTCTGGGGTGATTTTTTGAATCACCCTTCATGGCTGAGGATTTATGAGATCTAGTATTTTGTATGATGATGTGCTGTCTTGTTATATTTATGTGCTGAGATGTATAATTTTGTTTAATTGTATTTTATTTTACATGATTGTTTTGTTTACGTTTGTTGAAACCAAAATTCAAATAAAAACTTAAATGACAAAAACAAAAGCTTCTTTCAGACATCAAAAAAACAATATTACAACTCACAGACAGATATCACACAGAAAATGTAATATTAGGCGGTGACACTCAAAAGTGGGAGTTTCTGACATATAAAATCTGCCAGTACTCAATCTCCTTCAGCAAACACATCAAAAAGATAAATGGATTGGAATCATAAAAGAGATTCATTTGATTAGCATCAAATCAATATTAACAGAGAACGACAAAAATAAACTCTTCATTATGATCCAGACTTGATAGAATTTATGAAAGAAAAGCTGGAGAGGCATTTATCAGGTCCAGATCTAAGTGGATCGAAGAAGGAGAAAAAAACTGTGTATTTCTGCAGACTGGAAAACAGAGGAGAGGAATCCCATCAAAACTCTCACAATCCATGGTGCAGACTGCACAGACCCTGAATTAACTGCATTCTATCAAAACCTATACAGCTCATCCTTCTCCACAGATTCTGACTCGTCCTTGGATAAAATTAAGGATCTTATTCCTCAAACTGACAGTGGCTTCAAGGAAGAATGTGAGAAGGATTTTACTATGGAGGAATTAGACAAAGCAGTCATGTGCTTAAGATTGGATAACTCTGCTGGCCCCAATGGTCTAACAGACAATTTTTACAGACACTTTTGGGGTCTGCTTAGAAATCTTCTTTTCCAAGTCTTTAGAGAAGCTACAACCAGTCAGCATGAAACAAGGCATCGTTACACTCGAACCAAAGCCAGGTAAAGATTATGAGATAATTATCGTCCCATTTCACAACTAAACCATGACTCTAAGTTGCTAACATATATTTACACCAACAGATTAAAAGGAGGTCTGGACCAAATGATTAGTGAAACACAAACAGGACTTGTAAGCAACTAGACAACAACACATTTAGAAAACAACACCGTAAGGAGATGTCTTAGACAACATAACTTGCACACATGCTCAATTTGATGAAGTTATCAGAGCGATCCCTGAGTCAGTCAGAATGTCAGTCCAAAACATAGAAACACACTCAGGTGTGATAAATCCACCTGCACTCCATTTTAATGGTCTTGATTTTCCGGCTGAGGAAAATTCAAATAAAGTCATACGTAATCACCTGAAGAATAGAAACTCCATTATCCAGCTCTTTTCTAAATCAGACATCATCAAATTGAACTAAATCTATAACTTATCCAGGAGGCCCCGAGACAAAAAAAGTTCATTTGGTAATTATGAATGATATCTATCCATCCAATGAGCTGCTGAGAATGAGATTTGGTATTGATCATAATAACTGTGTCTTCTGTGAAACTGAAACTACTGATCATCTGTTCGTCCACTGCACACACTCTGCAGGACGTTTTGGGAGGATGTGCAGGACTGGCTATCAACCAAAATCCAACTTACTCCTCTCACACGAGAAAATGTCATGTCTGGTACTGACATGAAGGACACTAAGTGTGATCTGATTCTGAACAACCTGATACTCATGGCCAAACTCCAAATGGAGGAAAACAAAGGCCCTTTTTTCTGTTTTTGAAAAAGACTCTTAAGGACAATCACCTCAGTGATTTGAGACTAATGGAAAAAAAAGTCTGTCCTCACAGCATATGAAAAACTGCAAATATTCGAGGATCCTCAGATAAAGTGTGCAGAACTATTAATTTGCTTTATTTGTTTTAATTATTTTATTTTCACCATCATTTATGTTATTGACTTTATTTTAAATGTTAAATGTGCCTTGTAGGTTGAGATGTGTTCATTGTGGTTTGTATGCCTTTATGTTTTGTAAATGATTCATTTTCAATTAAAAAATTATCATGGTACTCTGTGGACGGGGAGCTTTTATTTTGAAGGTGAGTCAGTCGGACCGGATGTTTCCGTAAAGCTGGTGTGCTAACTGCTAACAGCTAGTTAACTCTGATAAACTACCGACCCGTCCAGTTCGTGACCCGGCGGACAGAAGAACGGACCGGACGGAGCTCTCCGGGTTTCTCTCATGGTGCTGCTCCGGTAAAGAAGCTTCTAGAAGCTGCTCGTGCACGCGCACACCATCTCCATGGCTACGGAAGAGTTATACGAGGTGACGCGAGCTAATGCTAACATGCTAATGGTAGCTAAGGGCAGAGTTAACTTGGCAAATGTTTCGAGCTTAGGGGGAAATAAAGTAAAGTGGTTGATTAGGAAATACTCAACCCTTAAGTAAAAGTTAGTCAGCTAACTATAGGGTGAGATAGCTTCTGCCATTAGCTCCTATAAAGTTAGCTTCTGCCATTAGCTCCTATAAAGTTAGCTTCTGCCATTAGCTCCTATAAAGTTAGCTTCTGTCATTAGCTCCTATAGAGTTAGCTTCTGTCATAAGCTCCTATAAAGTTAGCTTCTGTCATTAGCTCATATAAAGTTAGCTTCTGTCATTAGCTCATATAAAGTTAGCTTCTGTCATTAGTTCCTATATAGTTAGCTTCTGTCATTAGCTCCTATAGAGTTAGCTTCTGTAACTATCTCCTACAGAGTTAGCTTCTGTTATTAGCTCCTATAGAGTTAGTTTCTGCAACTATTTTCTACAGAGTTAGCTTCTGTCATTAGCTCCTATATAGTTAGCTTCTGTTATTAGCTCATATAAAGTTAGCTTCTGTCATTAGCTCATATAAAGTTAGCTTCTGTCATTAGCTCCTATATAGTTAGCTTCTGTCATTAGCTCCTATAGAGTTAGCTTCTGTAACTATCTCCTACAGAGTTAGCTTCTGTTATTAGCTCCTATAGAGTTAGTTTCTGCAACTATTTTCTACAGAGTTAGCTTCTGTCATTAGCTCCTATATAGTTAGCTTCTGTTATTAGCTCATATAAAGTTAGCTTCTGTCATTAGCTCATATAAAGTTAGCTTCTGTCATTAGCTCCTATATAGTTAGCTTCTGTCATTAGCTCCTATAGAGTTAGCTTCTGTAACTATCTCCTACAGAGTTAGCTTCTGTTATTAGCTCCTATAGAGTTAGTTTCTGCAACTATTTTCTACAGAGTTAGCTTCTGTCATTAGCTCCTATAGAGTTAGCTTCTGTAACTATTTCCTACAGAGTTAGCTTCTGTCATTAGCGCCTATAAAGTTTGCTTCTGTCGTTAGCGCCTATAAAGTTAGCTTCTGTAACTCTAACCTATAGAGTTTGCTTCTGCAACTATCTTCTACAGAGTTAGCTTCTGTCGTTAGCTCCTGTAGAGTTAGCTTCTGTAACTATAACCTACAGAGTTAGCTTCTGTCATTAGCGCCTACAGTTAGCTTCTGTAACTCTAACCTATAGAGTTAGCTTCTGCAACTATCTTCTACAGAGTTAGCTTCTGTCGTTAGCTCCTGTAGAGTTAGCTTCTGTCATTAGTTCCTGTAGAGTTAGATTCTGTCATTAACTCCTGTAGAGTTAGCTTCTGTCGTTAGCTCCCGTAGAGTTAGATTCTGTCATTAACTCCTGTAGAGTTAGCTTCTGTCGTTAGCTCCCGTAGAGTTAGATTCTGTCATTAACTCCTGTAGAGTTAGCTTCTGTCATTGGCTCCTGTAGAGTTAGATTCTGTCATTAGCTCCTGTAGAGTTAGCTTCTGTCGTTAGCTCCTGTCGAGTTAGCTTCTGTCATTAACTCCCGTAGAGTTAGCTTCTGTCGTTAGCTCCCGTAGAGTTAGCTTCTGTCCTTAATTTCTGTAGAGTTAGCTTCTGTCATTAGCTCCTGTAGAGTTAGATTCTGTCATTAACTCCTGTAGAGTTAGCTTCTGTCATTAGCTCCTGTAGAGTTAGCTTCTGTCATTATAACTCCTGTAGAGTTAGCTTTTGTCATTAGCTCCTGTAGAGTTAGCTTCTGTCATTAGCTCCTGTAGAGTTAGCTTCTGTCGTTAGCTCCTGTAGAGTTAGCTTCTGTCGTTAACTCCTGTAGAGTAAGCTTCTGTCGTTAGCTCCTGTAGAGTTAGCTTCTGTCATTAACTCTTGCGGAGTTAGCTTCTGTCATTAGCTCCTGTAGAGTTAGCTTCTGTCATTAGCTCCTGTAGAGTTAGCTTCTGTCATTAGCTCCTGTAGAGTTAGCTTCTGTCATTAGCTCCTGTAGAGTTAGCTTCTGTCATTAGCTCCTGTAGAGTTAGCTTCTGTCGTTAGCTCCTGTAGAGTTAGCTTCTGTCGTTAGCTCCTGTAGAGTTAGCTTCTGTCGTTAGCTCCTGTAGAGTTAGCTTCTGTCGTTAGCTCCTGTAGAGTTAGCTTCTGTCGTTAGCTCCTGTAGAGTTAGCTTCTGTCGTTAGCTCCTGTAGAGTTAGCTTCTGTCATTAGCAGATCTGTTTCATTTTCTCTTTTAACCTTTTCACCCCCTGACATCAGCTGTAGATGATGACATCATCGGGTCAGACTGAATGTTGACTCCACTCACTGACCTGGGGCCAGTCCAGTAACGGGCACATTGTCCGGTGTGTTTCCTCCTGCAGGTGGAGAGGATTGTGGACAGGAGGAAGAATAAGAAGGGGAAGGTGGAGTACCTGGTCAGGTGGAGAGGTTACGGTGCGGAGGGTGACACCTGGGAGCCTGAGACTCACCTGTCCTCTTGCATGGTCTACGTTCACGACTTTAACCGTCAGTACGCACAGCGTCAGAGGGATACCACGTTACTGCGCTCCACCCGCAGCTCACCTAGCCTACACTGCAGCCCTGCCCACAGACTGCCTTGCAGGCCGCCCACCTCCATGGCAGCACGCAGTAACGTCAGCAGTGACATCACAGGAGGCTGTGAGCAGGTGAAACCTGCTCTCAGCCCGGCTCCACTGCCCTCCGCTGGACTGACCCGCCCAGCCTCCGTCGGCTCCCAGCAGCCCTCACCAGCAGGCAGATTCAGCAGCAGTCTGATGTCAGCGTCTCCGGCTGGCTCGGCCCGCCGCAGCGTGGACCTATCCAAGACCGGCATCAAGATCCTTGTTCCTAAGAGTCCCATGAACAGTCGTCTGGACTCAGAGGACTGTTCCAGCGAGGCGGCTCACAGCCTGGAGGCCGGAGCTCAGGAGGCTCACCTGGTCCCACCTGAGGTTGCCCTGCTGGAGAAACCTGCAGGCGTCCAGCTGGGGCCCGGAGAGGAGAGGGCCCGCATGGGGACCAGACCCCGCAGCCAGAACCCCCTGCCCCCACCCCGGGTACCCGTCACACCTGCTGCCATGCGCTCCCTTAGCGGCACAGGTAAGGTCATTGGTCATCAGCAGGTTACAAATCTGAGAGGTAAACCCCTCAGTCGTCCACCTGGAGTGGACATAATCCTATCCTGAGAACACAACAGGAAATACTGTTCACTGGTTTATTTTTAGAGCCCACCTTTAGTTTGAAAAGTTCACCCTCTCCAAGTCTGAACTTCTCTGTCCGTCAGAATAGGCGACTCCTCATTGGAAATGACATACAAACAAAGTATAATGATAACTATAGCAGCATCATATGCTTCAAAACTATTCACGGTTTTTTGCCAGAAAAACCAGCATGTTTAATTTTTCCAGCTGGAGCAGGGCACGTAGTGATGACGTCACATCCAAAAACTTTATCAATTGGCATCTTCCGACAGCAGTTACGGGCAGTTATAAGAGAAACATTATAGCCTACTATTAGTTTTAAATTGTAATGGTATTAAATTTGAAAACTCAACCACACATACATAGGTGCTGGACAAACACTCATTATTTAGGCATTAAATAAATTATATTTATTATTATATTAGGCCCCTATAGGTCTATACGGGCGGCAGATTTTTTTTAATGACGGCAATGAAACTGATACCGTTGCTATTTTTAGATACCGCGAGAAATCTTATTACCGTATTATCGCCCAACCCTAATGCAGAATAAATCTGTCCATGGTCCGCTGGGACTCGTCGACACACTGGTCGAAGCTTTAAGCTCAGAAACCATGGTGACTGTAGTCTGATGATCTGCATCTCCTCCAGGTAACTCTGCACTGATGGAGGCTGTAGCTGCCAACGGGATGTCAGGTGTGCAGAGTGCTGTTACCGGGGTGACCAGCGCAACAGGGAAGCGACGTCTGGAGGAACGGTCTGCTTTTGACAAACGTCTGAGATTCAGCGTGCGACAAACAGAGAGCGCTTACCGTTACCGTGACATTGTGGTGAAGAAACAAGATGGCTTCACCCACATCCTGTTGTCAACCAAGAGCTCCGAGAACAACACGCTCAATCCTGAGGTAAGGCCATACTCCCACAAGGTGTAACCACACCCCCAAAATACATGTCCAATTGTAGAGTAGTCAAACCCCTATGCAACATCCCAAAATAAACACTTAATTCTTAGTGGAGGCCACTCCCCTATGCGATAGACCACACCCCTAATATAAACACTAAACCCCTGATTCGTGAGTGGAGGCCATCCCCCCCCCCCCCCAAAAAAAAGTTGTGACTCCACCCGATCAGACCGGGGTTTTTGGTATTCAATCATTTTTCACTGAGAACAGTCTGACATGCTTAAATCTCTGTGGTCATAATGTCCGGTAGAGCCTGTACTTTAAACGTTCGTAACATGAACCCTACGTCATCACAAAACACTCTAAATCTACACGTCTGAAGATGTTAAACAGCCCGCCTGTCAGGTGTTGTCATGGTTACTGAGGTCTACAGCCATGTTCTCCCTTCCCCTATGTCAGGTTATGAAGGAGATACAGAGTGCCATGGCAACAGCAGCATCAGATGACAGTAAGCTGGTGTTACTCGGCGCCGTCGGCAGCGTCTTCTGCTGCGGCCTTGACTTCCTGTATTTCATCAGACGGCTGACAGATGAAAGGAAGAAGGAGAGCATCAAGATGGCTGAGACCATCAGGTAACGCATGCTGGGAAAGAAAGGTTGCTATGGCAACAGTGTCATCACTTAGTCAGTAGGTGTTGACCTCCATCTCCTCTTCCTCAGGACCTTCGTCAACACCTTCATCCAGTTCAGGAAGCCGATTGTGGCAGCGGTAAATGGGCCCGCCCTTGGCCTCGGCGCTGCCGTCCTGCCGCTCTGTGACGTCGTGTGGGCCAATGAGAAGGCCTGGTTCCAGACGCCGTATGCATCCTATGGCCAGACGCCCGATGGCTGCTCGTCCTTCACCTTCCCCCGCATCATGGGCCTCGCCTCTGTCAGTCCACCGATCACATCAGAGTAGTGTTTCAGGCTAACTTGAAATGTTCAGTTGTGTTCCAGGCCAAGTTAAAATGTTCCGTTCTGTTCCAGGCTAAGTTGTAATGTTCCGTTGTGTTCCAGGCTAAGTTAAAATATTTCGTAGTGTTCCAGGCTAAGTTATAATGTTCCGTTCTGTTCCAGGCTTAGTTAAATTGTTCCGTAGTGTTCCAGGCTAAGTTAAAATGTTCCATAGCGTTCCAGGCTAAATTAAAATATTCCATAGTGTTCCAGGCTAAGTTGTAATGTTCCGTTCTGTTCCAGGCTAAGTTATAATGTTCCATAGTGTTCCAGGCTAAATTATAATGTTCCATAGTGTTCCAGGTTAAGTTATAATGTTCCATAGTGTTCCAGGTTAAGTTAAAATGTTCCATAGTGTTCCAGGCTAAGTTTAAATGTTCCATAGTGTTCCAGGCTAAGTTTAAATGTTCCGTAGTGTTCCAGGCTAAGTTAAAATGTTCCATAGTGTTCCAGGTTAAGTTAAAATGTTCCGTAGTATTGCAGGCCGACTTCAAATATTTCGTAGTGTTCCAGGCTAAGTTATAATGTTCCGTTCTGTTCCAGGCTTAGTTAAATTGTTCCGTTGTGTTCCAGGCTAAGTTATAATGTTCCATAATGTTCCAGGCTAAATTATAATGTTCCATAGTGTTCCAGGTTAAATTATAATGTTCCATAGTGTTCCAGGTTAAGTTAAAATGTTCTGTTGTGTTCAAGGCTAACTTATAATGTTCCATAGTGTTCCAGGCCAAGTTATAATGTTCTGTTGTGTTCCAGGCTAAGTTAAAATGTTCCATAGTGTTCCAGGCTAACTTGAAATGTTCCGTAGTATTGCAGGCTGACTTCAAATATTTCGTAGTGTTCTAGGCTAAGTTGTAATGTTCCGTTCTGTTCCAGGCTAAGTTAAAATGTTTCATAGTGGTCCAGGCTAAGTTGAAATGTTCCGTTCTGTTCCAGGTTAATTTGTAATGTTCCGTTGTGTTCCAGGCTAACTTAAATTGTTCCGTTCTGTTCCGGGCTAAGTTGTAATGTTCAGTTCTGTTCCAGGCTAAGTTAAAATGTTTCATAGTGTTCCAGGCTAAATTAAAATATTCCATAGTGTTCCAGGCTAAGTTGAAATGTTCCGTTCTGTTCCAGGTTAATTTGTAATGTTCTGTTGTGTTCCAGGCTAAATTAAATTGTTCCGGTCTGTTCCAGGCTAAGTTGTAATGTGTTGTTGTGTTCCAGGCTAAGTTGTAATGTTCCAGTCTGTTCCAGGCTAAGTTGTAATGTTCCGTTGTGTTCCAGGCTAAGTTAAAATGTTCTGTTGTGTTCCAGGCTCAGTTATAATGTTCTGTTGTGTTCCAGGCTAAGTTGAAATGTTCCATAGTATTCCAGGCTAAGTTAAAATGTTCTGTTGTGTTCCAGGCTAAGTTGTAATGTTCCATAATGTTCCAGGCAAAGTTATAATGTTCCGTAGTGTTCCAGGCTAAGTTATAATGTTCCATAGTGTTCCAGGCTAAGTTGTAATGCTCCGTTCTGTTCCAGGCTAAATTAAAATGTTCCATAGTGGTCCAGGCTAAGTTGTAATGTTCCGTTCTGTTCCGGGCTAAGTTGTAATGTTCTGTTGTGTTGCAGGCCAAGTTAAAATGTTCCATAGTGGTCCAGGCTAAGTTGAAATATTCCGTTGTGTTCCAGATTAATTTGTAATGTTCCGTTCTGTTCCAGGCTAACTTAAATTGTTCTGTTCTGTTCCGGGCTAAGTTGTAATGTTCCGTTCTGTTCCAGGCTAACTTAAAATGTTTCATAGTGGTCCAGGCTAAGTTGAAATGTTCCGTTCTGTTCCAGGTTAATTTGTAATGTTCCGTTCTGTTCCAGGCTAACTAAAATTGTTCCGTTCTGTTCCAGGTTAATTTGTAATGTTCCGTTGTGTTCCAGGCTAAGTTAAATTGTTCCGTTCTGTTCCTGGCTAAGTTGTAATGTTCCGTTGTGTTCCAGGCTAAGTTGTAATGTTCTGTTGTGTTCAGGCTAAGTTGTAATGTTCTGTTGTGTTCAGGCTAAGTTGTAATGTTCCGTTGTGTTTCAGGCTAAGTTGTAATGTTCTGTTGGGTTCAGGCTAAGTTGTAATGTTCTGTTCTGTTCCAGGCTAAGTTAAAATGTTCCATAGTGTTCCAGGCTAAATTAAAATATTCCATAGTGTTTCAGGCTAAGTTGTAATGTTCCGTTGTGTTCCAGGTCAACTTCAAATGTTCCATAGTGCTCCAGGCTAAGGTGTTATGTTCCGTTCTGTTTTGAGGCTAAGTTGTAACGTTCCGTTCTGTTCCAGGTTAAGTTGTAATGTTCAGTTCTGTTCCAGGCTAAGTTAAATTGTTCCGTTCTGTTCCAGGCTAAGTTTTTAATGTTCTGTTGTTTTCCAGGCTAAGTTGTAATATTCTGTTGTGTTCCAGGCTTAGTTAAATTGTTTTGTTCTGTTCCAGGCTAAGTTAAAATGTTCTGTTGTGTTCCAGGCTAAGTTGTAATGTTCCGTTCTGTTCCAGGCTAACTTGTAATATTCCGTTGTGTTCCAGGCTAAGTTGTAATGTTCTGTTGTGTTCCAGGCCGACTTCAAATGTTCTGTAGTGTTCCAGACTAAGTTAAATTGTTCCGTTCTGTTCCAGGCTAAGTTAAAATGTTCTGTTTTGTTCCAGGCTAAGTTGTAATGTTCCGTTGTGTTCCAGGCTAAGTTAAAATGTTCCATAGTGTTCCAGGCTAAATTAAAATGTTCCATAGTGTTCCAGGCTAACTTTCAGTGTTCAGTTGTGTTCCAGGCCGACTTCAAATGTTCCATAGTGCTCCAGGCTAAGGTGTTATGTTCCGTTCTGTTTTGAGGCTAAGTTGTAATGTTCTGTTCTGTTCCAGGTTAAGTCGTAATGTTCAGTTCTGTTCCAGGCTAAGTTTTTAATGTTCTGTTGTTTTCCAGGCTAAGTTGTAATATTCTGTTGTGTTCAAGGCTTAGTTAAATTGTTTCGTTCTGTTCAAGGCTAAGTTAAAATGTTCTGTTGTGTTCCAGGCTAAGTTGTAATGTTCCGTTCTGTTTCAGGCTAACTTGTAATATTCCGTTGTGTTCCAGGCTAACTTGTAATGTTCTGTTGTGTTCCAGGCCGACTTCAAATGTTCTGTAGTGTTCCATACTAAGTTAAATTGTTCCGTTCTGTTCCAGGCTAAGTTGTAATGTTCTGTTGTGTTCCAGGCTAAGTTGTAATGTTCCGTTGTGTTCCAGGCTAAGTTAAAATGTTCTGTCGTGTTCCAGGCTCAGTTAAAATGTTCCGTTGTGTTCCAGGCTAACGAGCTGCTGCTGAGTGGCAGGAAGTTGACGGCTCAGGAGGCGTGTTCTAAAGGTTTGGTATCTCAGGTTCTGTGGCCGGGAACCTTCACACAGGAAGTGATGCTCCGGGTCAAAGAGCTGGTGATGGTCGACTCACTGGTGAGTAACAAACACAGCCGCAGAAAATTGTGTGTGTACACACCACACACACACACAGCGACACACTGTGACCTCTGCTTCAGTGTTAAGTATCTGTTCATGTCTCGGTTCCACTTCCTGTCCTGCAGGTTCTGCGGGAGTCCAAAGCCCTGATGAGGAACACCAGTCGCAGTGCTCTGGAACAAGCTAATGAGCGCGAATGTGAAGCCCTGAAGAGAGTCTGGGGCTCATCACAGGGAACCGACTCCATCTTGCAGTACCTGCAGAGGGGAACCGAGCTCTGCTAGAACCTGGACCTGGAGCGGGAGCAGGACTGTTCTCCTGACTCCGCAATGACTCAGCAGATTCTGAACTGGACAGCAAACACTGAACGTTTCTTCCTTTTGTTGTAAACATTTAAATTATAATTTCATTAGAACATTTGTGTAGTTCTCTGGTTCTCACTGTTCTCTGCAGGCTCACCTGTGGGGTTCCACAGGTGGGGTTCCACAGGGTCCCATCTTGGTCCCTCTGTTGTGATAACATCAGGACATGTTGGACGGATCATCACAGGTTTGTTTTCATGTCTAATTTTCCTGCTAGACCAGACTGAGGGCGTCTAAGAACCCACAGTTTGAACGGAACCTGAACAGACATGCTCAGGGTTTAAACAGCTTGACGTCAGAGGGCATATTTCTACTGGACACTGATAAAGGAGGAAGTACATGATGCTAAGCTAGGCTAACAGTGGTGGATTCTGTCTGCACTCAGAGACTAAAACGTGACTGATGGAGAACCAGAGGGTTTATAATGTTGGACTGTTCCTTTAAATGGAGGTGACGGTGACCTTTGACCTTCATTTCCTCTAATGAAATCCTATGTGGAGGAATAAACAGGAAGGGGAGCCTGGGCTAAAACAGGAAATGAACTAGCAGTGACCTTCCTGTTTGTGGCGGTGGATCATTAGACAATGTTTGCTCCTGCAGCGGCCTCCTCAGGACAGACTGGGACAGACACAGCGTCAGCCTGCAGGGGGCGCTCACACCGTTTTTAATCATGTTTACTGGTGAATTATGGGTACATACTGACATCTGAGAGGTGTATGTGTGTGGGCGTGGCTTGTTCAGGTGACCATGTGATCAGGTAAGCTGACTGATCCCAGTCCAGGGTCTGAACAGGACCAGAATTTGAACAGAACCAGGATCTGGACAGGACCTGGACCTGAGCAGGTTCTGTCAGATTTCTGATTTCGGTTCATTATTTCATGTAAAAACAAATGAATCCAAATTAAAAGTATTTTGTTTGTTACAGTAACACGTTTGCTCTGTCACTCACTTCCTGTCTTTCTTATTTCAGCGCAGCCAATCACATCCTGTGTGTAGTGACATCATCAATGTATCATAAAGTAGAATGAGCCAATCAGCAGCTTCAACACAAATAACATAATCCCAGCATTCTCTCGTCCTGTGTGGTGTGACACCAGTGCCATCTTGTCTCCAGTCTCTATGCTAAGCTAACACACTCACACTCAGTGTACAGAGATGAGATGAGAACATTGTGAGGATCTCCTCCTGTCTCAGTCTCAACATGTCAGGAACAGAAACTCTGCAGCGTTCTTCAGGTGTGAGACACTTTGAGAACAACTTTTATCTTCACCAGGATCTCAACTGTAAATTAAAACTCTTAATGCAGATCAGTTTCTCTGACGTTCATCACCAGGAAGAACTCTGGAGGAACCATGGAGGAACTCTGAAGGAACCATGGAGGAACCCTAGAGGAACCATGGAGGAAGTCTGGAGGAACCCTAGAGGAACTCTGAAGGAACCCTAGAGGAACCCTGGAGGAACTCTGAAGGAACTCTGGAGGAACTCTGAAGGAACCCTGGAAGAACTCCGAGGGCAGAAGCTGACACTCAGAGAAACAGAAGAGGATTTAAGTTGATCCGTCACTTGTCAGCTCAGAGTTTTGATTTAACAGCTTCAGTCTGAGGTGAAGACGGACGGACAGTTTTACTAAGAACACTCTGATCAGCTTCAGTCTGAGATGACGGCCCTTCATCATGTTCAGTTACAGTAAAACTTTTTGAATCTACCATAAAATAATAACTAGGTAATGAGAGGCTGAGAGAAGGACACACTGATGCTAACAGGCTAACAGATCAGCTGGTGGAGGATCGGAACTAACGGCTAGTGTAGCTTAGCTGACAGTTAGCTTGTTTTAACTTGGCGTCCCAGTTAGCTTTACGGCTTCTGTCCAGTGTGAATCCCCTGACGTGCTGCTGTTAGCCGGGCTGCTAACTGAGCTGCTAATTGACAGCTACCTGCTCGGCTAACAGCTGTCAGCTGCCTGGTGGTTAGCTGGACAGACAGCCAAAGAAACCCCAAAACCCAGTCTGAAGTTACTGCTGTTTATTTTCTTTAGTATGAAAAATCAACAGTAATATTTAGTGACATTAAAAATAAACAAACTCTGTTAACGGCAGCATTTTAATTGTAACCATCTCCTGTGTTTAAGGACTGCAGTACAACACATTTAAAAAAAAAATACTGTTTCAACAAATATTTATCAGATATTGTGTCATCTGATAACAGATGACCCATTTATGAGTTATAACAAAACATCATTTATAATTAATTAATAAAAAATATCAGGAAAAACAGATGAATAAAAACAGTTTTCTTTTGAAGAGGAAACTCAGAATCAACTAAAGATTTGTTTTCCAGTCAGGGATGACCACAGGTGAGGTCAAAGAGGACAGGTGAGGTCACAGAGGACACATGAGGTCAAAGAGGACAGGTGAGGTCACCAAGGACACGAGGACAGGCGAGGTCAAAGAGGACACATGAGGTCACCGAGGACACAAGGTCAAAGAGGACAGGCGAGGTCACCGAGGACAGGTGTCATGTGCTCCTGTAGCCAGGTGCAGGTGGTAGGTGTGGTCATGGAACATCAGCAGACTGTAGAAGTTCTCTCCTCCTCTCAGGACACCGTGTTCAGCGCCTCCCCACGACACCGGACTGTCAACAAAACCGTGAACCGTCAGCGCTGCCCAGGACTCCAACCGAGGCTGCTCCAGGTGACATCTGCAGAACACATACAACCAACGAGTTCAACACAACATGTGACACGACCTGAAACACATCTCTTAACTTCTCTGCTGACCTGATCTGCTCAATAAGGTGGTGGACGTCTTGGGGAAGCAGCAGTCCAACGACGGAGACACTCAGAGCTCGACCCAGTGTCGTCTTTGGCTCAGGACAGACCAGTGAGGACAGGAAGCTGCTAGATGAGTTGTCACTGACACCACAGAAGAAGAGAAGAGGCGTTCAAGTGTTTGAGCAGGAATAAAGACAGACGGGTGGAGACACGTTACAGAGGACAGCAGGTCACATGACAACTGTTCACAGAGCGGCTAACATAGGACAAGTCGTCATGGTGTCCGCCCTCTCACCAGCTGACGTGGGCGTCCACGGCTCCAAGCCACTCCAGGAAGCGGTGAGGGTCACATGACTGCAGGTCAGAGGTCAGCAAGGCGGGGCAGGAAAGGTCTGTGAGGGTGCAGCTGCTGATCTCAGGTCTGTGCTCTGACCAATCATATCGAGACAGGAGAGCCTGCAGAGAAGCTCCGCCCCCTACAAAACACACAGCAGGGGCTTATGGATAATACACAGGCTGATGAAATCACTGCTAGGTGTGGTCACAGGTGTGACTCTTTAGGTCATCGCACAGAAGGTTCTGGAGAGTCAAGTCCTGAGATTGATGATACATTGAACCACAGATACATGTTGGTTCAATGTTTGATGATGGGAGGACAAATCTGAATCTGGTAATTAGTGTAACTGTGATGTAACGTTCAGAGTCGACTAAATGGGTCCTCACTTCTGTCTGAAGGAACAAAACAAACACTTTACAGACAGAGCTGCCACGACTTCATGTTTACACAGAACCAAAGAACCCACTGCGCTGTCCGCGATGTGTGACCTGTTCGGGGAGACATACAGGGAGAGTGTTGCACCTGCTGCCTCCCTGCCTACACTTTTTGAAGAAAAGAAGAAACATTACCAGAATGAGACACCACTACAAGCCGAACAGGATCCACTCTTGTGGTGGAAAACTACGCACTGAAGTATCCAAACATTGCTCAGATAGCGAGGCAGAAGGTGATCATACCTGGCACTTCAGTGAGGTCAGAATGGGTGTTTTCATCCAAGTGTCACGTTCATATTGCGTCAGCAATAAGCATCTTATTTTTTGTGTTTAAAAAAAATAAATAAATAAATTCGAAAATATTCGAATTTAATTTCATGGTGCTTTTGACAGCCCTAGTCCTTAGGACCCTCACAGCTGATCAGGAAAAACTCCCCAAAAACACCTTTAATGGGAAAAAAACAGTAGAAACCTCAGGAAGAGCAACTGAGGAGGGATCCCTCTTCCAGGACAGACAGACGTGCTATAGATGTCGTACAGAACAGATCAACATAATAAATTAACAGTAATCCGTATGACACAATGAGACAGAGAGAGAGAGAGACAAGCCCCTTTTACACTACCAGATTTTCCGCAAATGTTGGACCATTTTGCCGGCAAGCTGCTAGCGTTTAGACACAGAGCCGGATTGGCAAGTTGATCCGAGGTGCCCAGTTTTTCGCCTCGTAGGGTAGACATATTGGTGGAATATGGTGCTCTTCTTTCTTTGAGTTAGCCGCTAACTGCTAACAGCTGCTGTTCTTCCTTCTTTGAGTTAGCCGCTAACTGCCAACAGCTGCTGTTCTTCCTCTTTGAGTTAGCCGCTAACTGCTATCAGCTGCTGTTCTTCCTCTTTGAGTTAGCTGCTAACTGCTCTCAGCTGCTGTTCTTCTTTGAGTTAGCTGCTAACTGCTACTTTTTAAATCTCTGCGGTGTGTCGTACACAGAACACTGATAAACATCACACCCGTCCTGTCCTGCTGTCTGTCCTGTTTATACAGATGTTGTGTCTGTGCTGTTCCCTCCTCTACTGCCTTACAAGTGAAACAATCTCTTTCCCTCCATTCTGTGATTTGATCTTTTCTACAGGTCAGTGAGGTGGAATAACAACGTTAAACTCCCACCTTGAAGAGGTGGAGCAAAAGGAGCTAAAGATTATTGTTTGTGCGCAGGGCTGCCCCTGACCAAATTGGGGCCCTAAGCGAAATTTTATTTGGAGGCCCCCATCCCAAATGTATCATAGGTACAAAATGACCGTACAACAACTTGCCATTTAACTTGACAACCTTTACTGGCAATAACAAATGTACTGTAGATACAGTAGTTTGGCTGTATGAGTCAAATAAAATAAAAAATTCAACCTGAAATAAATAAATAAATATTAAATAAAAATAACTTCAAACTGAAATAAATAAATAAACAAATCTGAGTCACAAATAGCCATCAATTACTCATCAAAAGAAAGTAACTTCCACCACCTCAACCCCCACCCTTGATTAAACACTGAAAATAAAATAAAAGAGGGAGACAGGTTTTTCCTATTTAATCTTATTTTGTTATATTTCTCCCTCTCCCCTCTCTGGAGGCGTCCGATCTCCCTCAGCCCTCCGCCTCTCCCACCTTAATTAAACACTGAAAACAGAAATAAAATACAGAGACATTCTTTTCTATTTTCATCTTATTTAGCTATATTTCTCCCTCTCCCCTCTCTGGGAGCATCCGACCTCCCGGCCCCGCACATACCCCTGAGGCTCGGGTCTCCCCCTCCGTGGAGCCCGCCCGCCCGCCCATCCCCGCACACACTCCTGAGGCTCTTTTGGACGACATGTCGACAACTCTTCACCTGCTGCAGCTCTGCAAGTGCCTGCCAGCGCACCCCTCTTACTGTTCAGATGTCGAGTGCTGTAGTGCATGTGCGTATCCATTGCGCATATGCGCAAATGCGTCCCCTCGCGCAAAATGTGGCCCCCCATGGAAGATGAGGCCCTACGCACAGTGCGTGTTCTGCGTTTAGGGAGGGGAGGCCCTGTTTGTGCGCTCCAACAGAAGGTTAATAAATCATGATGGGATTCAACCACTCTCATGTAGCTTAGCTAAAGCTAGCTGTGGCTAAAGCTAATGTGTAGTCGCCAGGATTTGGCTCTGTGGTGTGTCATGGGTAACACAGGTGTGTCTCACCTGGATGATGTGACAGCAGGAAGTCAGTCCTCAGTTGAAGTCGTGACTTCAGACCTGCGATGAGTCTCTGATGGCCCCGCCCACCAGGAGCCATGCTGCTGTGCGTCAGATCAACTGTCACCACTGGAACACAGATAATCATGTTTCACACACCTGTTTCTATGATGAGCTGACAGATGCTCAGGTTCACCTTTTTCAACATTTATTCTATTGTTTCACATCATCATGAACTCATGCCAGAGCAGACATGACATCGCTGATGTCACTGTGATGTCACTGTGCTCTTCAGACCGTATCTGCGGTTGGTTCTGTGGTTGAATCTGGACGGTTTCCCTTCGACTCCCAGCAGCTCAAACGAGTCTTTGTCCAGAGACAGAGTCAGGTGACCTGCAGGCGGACAGACAGATGGATGGACAGCCTGGGTCAGACACCTGTACGTGACATCGTGTGACCACTGATGACATCACACAGGATTTACCGTTGGGCATCAGAGCGACAGAGTTGTCTTCATCAAGCCTTGTCTTGTAGGACAGACCGGACACTCGTCCTGCGCGCACACACACACACACACACACAGTATATTCTGTTTATACTGACACATCATTAATCAGCTGTGAGGGTCATAAGGACAGAGGGATGTCGTATGCTGTAAAGCCCTGTGAGGCAAATTGTGATTTGTGATATTGGGCTTTATGAATAAAATTGAATTGAAAATTGAATCACTTCCTGTTTCAAATTAATAGTGTACAGGTGTGTGTCAGGTGTGTGTCAGGTGTACAGGAGTTACCTTGGTACACGGCGGCCTCCAGGAAGTGTTTGTCCAGCAGTTCGTACGTGGGCAGGTCCCTGATCAGGTAGAAACTGTTGAAACTGTTGAATGCAGTGTCCAGGTGAGAGGGGGCGGAGCTACACTCGGGCAGCAGCACAGACACCTGCACAGGTAAAACAAAGGGCTCACTACACAACAGAGAGACACCTGAGGTCACACAAACAGGAGTCACTTCCTGTTTATTTAACAGTTGAGGGCGGAGCTAGGACGCAAGGAAGAGACGCAAGTGAGGGAAACGTGCATGCGAGATTTGGTAATGGGATGAACCTCTTTGGGAGGAATTTGAAGGATGCATGTGTGGATCCTCTGCGGGTATACAATCCCCACAATGCTTTGCACATGATGAGATTTAGTGTTTAAATCATTCACAGCAGAGATGGAGTGCTAAGTGAATGGCGGTGAGAGCGGCCACAGTAAAGACATGAGCATATCCTGCAGGTCAAAGCATCGCTCTTATGTTTTGAGGTGAACTTATTTCAGAGGATTACCTGGCGGTATAATGTACAATTGGCGCGGTCAGCTGTTTGAGAGCAGCACAGCTCATCAGATCAGATCTATTCATGTTATTAAGTTAAGTAAAGTTCCACTGATTGTCACACACCTGAGTGTGTGAAATTTGTTCTCCGCATTTGACCCATCCCCTGAGGGAGCGGTGAGCAGTTGCGGTGCCGCACGCGGGAATCATGTGGTGATGTAACCCCTCCCAGTTCCAACCCCTGATGCTGAGTGCCAAGCAGGGACACAATGGGTTAATGATGATCACATGAGGACACCTGTTAGTCTGTCCCAGAGAATGAGAGGAAGGACTCTTGTCTCTGTGGGAAGGATCCATGGGTCCGTCCCAAGTCTCTTAAATTACTGCTAGTGCTACTGCTAGCCGACTTTGCTAGCTGTTTAGCCCCTCCCACCTAGGAAAAAATGCAAGGAGCTAGCGCTAGGAGCGATGAGCGAGCATTGTCGGTTTAAGAGACATGAGACGGCCTTACTCTGAAACGTCACGTGAAGCAACGTCCAGTCCTGATGACGGCGGCACAACTGGATCTGCTGCATAACGGAGCCAGCGTTTGGCGTACATCCCAAGTCACATTATATTCGCTGATCAAAGCCGTAGTCTTGCAGGAAATATCATCAACGTTACTCTTTGTAGTCACGTAGGCATGTGAATTACAGCGTTTCATTGCAGAGAATGCATGTAACGGGTACACTTGCGCTGTTTCTCCGCCATCTTGTTCAAATGAGCCAGATAAAGGGGGCAGGTATTTATACGTCAGAGCCTCAGCTGAAAAAGACTTCCTGTTAGGAACCTCTCGACCATCCTAGCTCGTAGCTGCTTAAAGCTTGCTGCTAGCTCCTAGCGCTAGCTCCTCGCTGCACAAATAAGAGACTTGGGACGGCCTAGAAGATGGTGGACCTCGAGCGACTAATGGTTCAAGCGAGGAGCTAGCAGTAGCACCAAAGAGCATGGATACCAAGAGGTGAAGCTTAATAGAACGCCCCATGGCAACAGACTCGCCCATGGTTTCATCCTACCGCCGCCATTTTGGACTGTCAGCAGACCCGCTTGCATACAAAAACACACAGACAAACTGAAGTATATCGCTATTAATTATGCTTACAATGCTACTCACCTCGTGATAGCTTGGTCACAGCTGCTTTTTCATGTTTTTGTAAAGCAAAATATAGACTTTAAAAAAAACAAAACGAAGAAAAATGGCCTAGATGGCATCTCTACATATTA